AGAAATGTTTAATAAATCTCCTGGAACAATATGTCCCAATCATAATGTCAACTGGGACTATTTGTTCCAAATGTTTAGGATATTACCCCTTCTCAGAAGACAAAACTAAAATTTATGGTAATATATAATGTGAATATTACAAAACATAAACTCTGTCGCTGTTCATAGACATGAGAAATTTTCATATATGTTTCATAAACACAAACATAATATATCAGCATGTAGTAATTTGATTACTGGTGGGATATATTAGCCCACTGTTAAATACGACTGGGAACATATATACCACAAAAAGAATTTATTCAAAATTTCTTAATTCTGACATTAAAAATGTTAAAATTATTACTTAACAAGAACTATTTCATACTAAGTATGCCTTAAATATAATTGCACTTACTGTAAAATTAAAAAATAAATAAACAAATTGAAATTTGAGTAATCGATGTATTCAAAAACATAAGTGTGCCATCTGCAATCTAAAAGTGTTGGCCAGGCTTTTTTAGTCATATATTTGTTCCCTAATTCCTTAAAAACAACTGCAAATGTAAAAACGCATTTAAAGTAAGGTTTATTTACTGAATAGGGTAATGGAATCTGATCTCTGGGAGATATGTGCTCATTAGGACCAAAGGGGTTAAATTGATGATCTAATATTACGTACTTAAAAAAATCCCAAATCAGGAATTGCCAAAGTCTTGGACCAGTCTGGATCTTGGACTTTGGACTGTATATCAAAGGAAAACATTAATGATTGTCCTAAAAAAAATTTTTACTGATAAATTCTGATGGAGTTAATACACAGCTATTAGCAGCAACTGAAGCTTGAATACATCAATGTGAATCCAGAAATGAAACAAAATAAAATGATATGGAAGCACACTGGATTTCCCTAGACCCAAAGTTCAGAACACAGAAATCTGCTTTGATTAGTTTTACCACCAGTTTTTGGGATGAAAAGAAGTTTATTATGTGATTATTTTTTACAAAACATCATATTAACAAGTGTTTATTATGGGCAAGTGTTTATTATGGACGTATTGCTAAGCCCATAACTACTATGATAAAATCAGTAAAAACGTATTGCCCAAACAAAAACATTCAAAAGATAATTTTGTCTTTTTTGGAAAAAAAGAAAAACTGTTGCTTATTAATTACATGTAACACAAAACCATTAAAAAAGGTTTTTATTATACCGGCTTGTTAGCCCAATTATAATAGGCTACAAAGGGCATCATGAAAAACTTGACAGAAGGGTATAGCTTTTGTATAACAGCTTAATCTAATATAAGATTCAAGTTTCCTAACTTACACTCAGCAACGTATATTCAAGCTTCTTCCCCACTCATTATGCCTACCAGACATAGGTGTGAATGCCTTTAAAGAATAAAGGGGGTACTAGCTTTTCTGTGATTCAAGTCAATGAAAATGAGATGAAAGATGCCACTCAGAAACAGCTTTAGGGCGGGAATAACACAATTCTTTTTCCTGGAATTCAAAAGTTACCTGCCACAACTGGTAATGTACACAGCGAAAACAAAAGGGGGAGGTGACAGTTCTATATCTCCCATTCATAACACAATTCTTTTTCCTGGAATTCAAAAGTTACCTGCCAGAACTGGTAATGAACACAGCAAAAAAAAAAGGGGGGAGAGGGGACAGTTCTATATCTCCCATTCTACTAGGCCGATTGACGAAATTTAAATTGCATTTTTCATGTATCAAAAGTGCGATGTAGGATATATATTAGATTTACATACAGTATTGCTCTAGCATATGTACTTTGACAAGAAATGAGACTTTTCCTGAAAAAACATACCAATTTTTCTTTTCCGTATTTCGATTCTACAATTCAAATTATGCCTAAATATTAAATTCTGTAAAATTTCGTGCGAAATTTGTGGAGAAAATCACAAATTTATCTTGCAGTCTTTTTTTTTTTTTTTCAGTTGTGCCAATAATTCACTTGGAGAACTTTTTAATATATGGCAACCAATTTTCCTTTCCCTTCCATTGTACATGAGTGAAAAAAAAGTCACTTCGTTCCTACTTTGATACATTGTGCATGAGTGGGAAAAATGACACATCGTTCTCCTTTCAATTTTAACAAAGTGCCTAAAACCACATTTCATGTTATTATCGCTTTCAACAAATATGCCAAATTTGAAAACGTGCCAATATATAAATTCACGTATATCTTCGGAAATTTTTTTAAAAAAATGTAATTTTTTTTTAGGTATGCTTAGAAATACATCTACTTTACCATGATGGTAAAAATTTTAAAGATTATAGCTCAAAATTTTTTTTCGAAACATTTAAAATTATTTAAAAATACAAATTTTAAAAATAAATCATAAAAAATGGGCAAATTTTATTTGGAATGAACCTAAATTTTGAAATGTGAAAGGAAGAATCAAATAAGTTTAATCAAAAAAAGGAGATACTAATAAATATATACCAAACTCAATTAACATTGAGGAACTAAAATTTTGAGAGCTTATTTTTTAATAAGTACTTGTGCAATTTTTACTAAACTTAGCAGTTTGGTGTAATTTGAGTGGTAGAATGGAAATATGGGGAAAAATTGGCATGCCATTTCAGAAAAAGTACGATTTTGTGACAAAATACCTATATTAGAACAACGCTATAAATAAATCTAATACATATCCCTAAGTTGCACTTTTGAGACAAGAAAAATGCAAGTTGAATTTCTTATATTGGCCCAGTAAAACAGGAGATATAGAATTGTCCCTTTCTTTTTCCCCGCAGTGTACATTGAAATCAAGCAACATTGCATAGAAAGCTGAGCAAATCATTTCATTTTGGATCTTTAATCTATACAATTGTGCTAAGCTTACTGAACATACTAAAACTTACTGAACATACTAGATTACTAAGGCTGCTTGCATATTTTTAGAGAACTTTTTATTGTATTTGCAGAAATATTTAACATAAAATTTTTGTATTTTGAATGGTCCATTTGATAACCTTTAATCTCCACTATCTTTCTACACTGTAATTTCTAAGACGATAAAGTTTTTTCAATAGCAGAAGAGATATTCCATTCTTCTTGAACAGTTTTCCAAAGTCCAAAGAAGGTTGTAGGTCAAAGTCTGAACAATCTGCTTTTTTAAAGTTCAAAAGTGCAAAAATCCATGGATGATATATAGGAGATTTAGTAGGCATATGAATGATTGGTATGTATGGCCTAGGTAGATGTTTCTTGTTCCCTTTTTTTGCAGGAAATTAACAGTGGATTTTGACGTGTGGCTGCTCGCATTGTCTTGATGCGGTTCTACTGATTGATTACAGTGTGGGTGAAGTGATGCTATTTCTTATTTGAAAATTGGGTATAAAATATATTCCTGATAATATGTGGAGTTGATCTTAACAGTTTTTTACACTCTCTATAATTTTTATATATTTTTTTAGAGAGAAATCTGCAGCACGTTCAGCTTTCAGTGATATGTCATAGAAAAAGTTGATGCCATTACATTTTCTCGCCTTTTTAAGATTCCAATCAGCATTAATCATTCTGTTTACAGTTGAAACAGAGCATTTTAATGATTATGCAATTGTGCTTTAGTTTCGAAGATTTTCTTTTAACATTTGGTAAGACCCGCCTAATGCTAGAGGGCGCTGAGAGCGCCATTGAGTGTGTGCTGAGATTCGATGCAGTTGCTCGATGGAAGGTGTGACGCAGTTGCGAGATTCTGAAATTGAGATATTATATTTAATTAAATCAATTTATATTTTATTGATTGGTGATTACTGAATTTGATTTATTGATATGAGATGATATGTTTTGCTGAACCACCACACTTTCGACAAACTTGGATTACCACTGAACCTCAACCCCCCCCCCCCATGCGCAACATTAAATCGACTTTGCAATATTCAAAACGTTCCGTTTTTTTCTTGGACATGTATTTTGAACAATTTTTCTCCTTGAAGTCATATTCTGATGTTCTTTTCCTGTCTTATTTTTCTTTTCCTTTTTCTGACAATATTATCTATCGCTTCTTTAGATATTGAAAAATCATGCGCTTTTGCAGCATTTTTTAATAACTAAATACAAATAATCCTTCAGAAAAAGTGCAGACAAAGCCTTAAGTCCATTGCTTCTTTAAAAGCATAATTTTGCATGAAAACAAAATTGTCAAACAGCAGACAATAATTTACACTTTTAAAAATATAGTTGCAGTTATAAAATAATTTTGCAAACTGGCAATATTTTTATAGCAAAGCAAAGTCGTCTAAAAAATGTGCAAACAGCCACTGCATATGCAAGTATATCTATTCAATAGCAAGATTATGAAAAGAGAAATGACTATTATACGTTCTGAAACATTAATAATGTTTATTATACGTTATGAAACATTAATAATGTTTCAAGAAGAAACATAATAATAATCACGGATATTTCATAAATTTTAACAATAATTAGACATTATTCAAAATTTGATGGCTCTAGGTACCATTGTTTTATCACAATGCAAGAAACATATATACATTTATGCAGATACTTCATAATTCAATTTCTTTAAGTATAACACAGTGCGATAATATTTGGTGGCAACAATTTGATAAGTGAAACACACATATAAAGTTTTCGATGCAAAATGCCGAAACGAAATTAACAGCCTTTCTGGGCTAAAAAAAAAAAAAAAAAAAAATACAAATATTGTTTAAAATAGAAACTGATATCCTATGAAAAAATTAAAGAAAACTGCACATAAAACGAATCACAAAAGAAAGATTAAAAATACAATTGCATGTTTAACTTTAAGCAGATGTGCAATAAAACATTAAACATAACTCCTATAAAAGATCAACAGAAAAAATACATGCAATGAAAAAAGAAATACAATCAGTCAGGTTCCCACTCAGGACTTTAATTCATTACTCAAAAAGCATAATTTTATATAATAGCGAAAATGCACATACTAATTGTTTAATAAAATTATCACATGAAGCAATTTAATACTTAAATTAAAACTTACCATCAACTGCAAGTTCTTTGGATGCAGGTTTTTGAGATATGCTTTCTTTATTTGAGATCTTCAAAACTTCTTTTACAGTAGGTGGAGGAGCTGAGTTATTGTCATCAGAACATAAATTTTCTGTTTTAGATAAAGAACTGGAGCTTATAGTCAAAGATTCAGTGACCGGAGGACCTGGAGTACTGGTTGGAACCTCAGATAATTGCATGCACCTTCTTCTTTCTTCTTCAACCAATTCTACATTAGACTCTTCACTAGATGCAACTGAGGAACTCTGACATGGACTTTCTTTTACATTTAAAGATGGATCTTGCACAGCAATATTAATATGATTTAACAATTTGACCCTTTTGTCAGTGTTACAAGGCAAAGATAATATTGGAAATTTTTCAGTATGAGAGGCCACTGTAATTATATTTGCAAGTCTAGTATCTGGAGAAACCCTGCCTTCACAAATTGAGATGTCTCTTTTCTCCTGCACCACCAATACATTCCGGGCCGGTAAAAACGTGCCACATGATGGAACAACAGGAGGTATTGAATTTACCTCGGTAGCACGCCCTGACTTGGCCAACATATTTGGCACTGCCGGTGAGGTTTGCAGAGAAGGCACTTCAATCACATGGGGCTGGATTGGTAAAGTATCAACACTGATTATCTGCGCAATTGGAGGATTTTTTACATCAAGAACACATACACTTTTATCAGACACATCAATATTGTCTTTTATTTCTTTTTTAGGTGCTGGTGTTAAACACGAAAGTGATAAATCACAAGAATCTGAATGATTAGATAATATATTTTTGCACTTATCACCATCTCCACTCGATGGTACTTTCAAAGTAACTGGAAGTGAAGGCTCACTTTTTACATCTTCACTCAGTTCAGTCCCAAAAACATCTTTTTTGTTGGCAGTAGCATTTATATTTACATCAACATTTTGTACTTCATTTACAGTAATAATATCTTCCCTAGAATTAGTTTCAGGAGCAATTTTGTCACTTTGTACATTTTTATTTACATTTACACTGTCAAGTATATTTTCTATTATATCTTTATTTATAGAATATGTATTGCACTGTTTTTGGCTATCTGTAGAGCTAGAAACATCCTCTTCAGGATAAGCCGAAACCCTCTCGGGTTTTAATAGTTTGTTTGCATCCGTAGAATCACTTACTTGCATTTGAACATTTGAACCTGAGGCAGTTTCATTTGTATTGCAAGTAGGTGAAGAGGCTGAGTTTACACTCAGAGGCACAGTGGATACTAAACTACTGGCAGATTGCGACTGAGTCTGTTCACTAGGACAGTTGCTTTTATGTACACTGTTTTTGTTATCATCTGGTGCACTGGGTGAATGAGGTAGATAATTATTTTGCATAAGAGGTGATTTTCTGGAACCTGAAAATGCAAAAACAATACAATAGTAGATTATAAAAATTTAACATTAGTTATGAGAGCAATTCAACAGGTTCATTTAAATAGGTAAAAAAAAAAATTACCACCAGGCAATAATTTAATAGTTTATTTAACACAGTGAGTTAATTCGGATTTTGCATTGCTTAGCACAAATTACATATGCTTATCCATCCCCAAGCAATGGCAAGTTTCTTCCTTACTGGAAGAAACCATTGAAAAATAACTAGGCTGAAACTAGGTATTTTTCCTATAAAAATGTTGAAACTAGTTTTTTTTATTTATTTTGTATTGATATTACCATATGAATATTTTATTCACATGTAGTACTGTTACATTACAAATTAAACATTTCCTTTACCTATACAATTTAACAAATTAACTGCAATAACCCCCTCTTTTTACAAAATTACAAAACAATTTTTTTAAAAACAAAATATAAACATGCCTAGTATTCCTGCATTAAGCTGCTGAAAAATTATCAGTAAAGACAAAGTAAGAAATTTAGAACTAATCTTTCACAAAGACAAAAAAAATGTAATCCATAATTAATAAATTTCAAATAATACTGTAAATGCAACATAGAATTTATAAAATGCTTAATCCAGAACTTTTAAACAAGCAATAACCCCAAATGAAAAAAAATTAATAAAATTTAATGAAAAAAGAACTTAACAAAAGAGGAATTAAATCAAATTCAATGTCACTTCGTCAGGAGAGAGGAACATTGAAATGAATTGAAATCTCCCTTCTACAAAAAGCCTTGCTTTTCGGTATTCAGAATTAGCCGACGAACCATTTCAATGCATTTTAATTATAATTATAGCTGATGAACCATTTAATTACAATAGTTCACCTGAAAATTTTGGCCTTTCCCCAAAGGAAGGAAAAAACAAAGTAAATTCTAATTAGAATCTTGTACCTTAAATAAAGAGAATTCTATTTTATTTAAAGAATTGAAACCAAAAGTAAAAAATTAAAATACTTCAGTGAAAAATATAAATAAAAAATTTTACCTTTAAAAATATAGCACATAATTCAAAGAATTTTAAACTTTAGTAAAATTATAAAAATTAAAACTCACAATAAGTAATTAAAAACATTGAGCACTTTCATTATACCTCAATCGAAGCTAGGGTACACGTTTGCCAGTTTGGCTTCATTGCCAAAAATGAAAAACCTTGATGAGAAATTAAGCGTTTAAAAGACTGAAATTTGGAACGAAATATGAAATTTTGAAACCAAAAGAAAAACTTTTTAATACTTCAATGAAAATTTTTTAATTTTGACAAAGAAAAATATTATTTTACTAATTGAACGAAAGTATAGTAAATTCTGACTCTTTTAAAACAAAAATGGGAATAAAGAACATCATTCAACAGACATGAAATTTCAAAATCAATTATTCTTTAAAAATAGTAGACACAAAAAGGTGCCTAAAAAGCGGTAAAAAAAGTTTTTAATAATTGTTTCATAGATATGGGTAGAAAAATCCATAAAGTTGAATTTTAAGATTTTTTTAATATTGTAATTTAAAATTACAGAAAAAGGTTGAAAAGGAGGTAAAGGAACTATTGTTAGAAAAGTAAAAAGTCTTCATATCATGGGCTTATCATGACGACTTTGAATATAAGTGGCCTTTGTTTAGTAACAGAACAGTAATTAAAAGAAAAATAAAAACCTATAACCCCTTTAAAATATCCTGCTCTTTTGGGGCTTTAGGATAAAAAAAAATATGCTTTTAAAAAGTATTACAGGATGTAGACTACTCCAGATTTCTTTAAAATACTAGTATTAATAAATTTTAAAGCAATTTCATTAGCTTTTAAAATTTTGCTGAGAATTAGAATTTCTTCTTCTTTTGTTTCTATTTCAGCGTAAACTTTTTTAATTTTGCTAATTTGGTTAATAATAGTATTTGCAATAACTTTTTTAGATATGCTAGAGTTAAAATTTATAAGTTTATTAGTAGAAAAATTAAAATCTTTTCTTTTATCAAAAAGTTTAATTTCTGTTAGATTATGAATACTTAAATCAAAGATAAACTATTTCCATTTGGTTTTTATTGGTCTTAGTTTCAGACAATTTGGGTAGATGTTGCTATTTTCGATGTGATTAAAATTGATGTCATCAATATATCTATAAGAGTATTGCTTGTTTAAAAGTTTTTTAAATTTAAATATTTTTTTTTTAATTCTTTGTCGCCTTTTAAGATTATTTGAAATTTATTGATTATGAATTACAATTTTTGGTCTTTGTGAAAGATTAATTCTAAATTTCATACTTTATGTACATATACAGTACAAAGTCCGAAATCCGGACGTCCATTATCCGGAATGATCTAAAATCCGGACCTTAAAACCACCAACAAAGATTTTCTCGTAGGCTTTAAGCATGCGCACTTGACCCCTCCCCCCTCCGCGCATAATAAAACATCTGGAGAGCCCCGATTCTTAACTTCACTTCGACGCTAAATAAAATACCTTGTTATTGAAGAAACAATCATTTTAGTATAAATTTGTACGATTTTTTTGTAATTTGGCTCCGTTGCTGCATATTTGCTTGGCATGCACCTCTAACCGAAACATTCCACATAGATATATCGTTGATCTGACGCTAACCTAGCGAATCATTTTTTTATTATACTTTCCTTTCATCATCGCTTGTTTATCAAAACATGACAACTTGAGTAATGACTCATGTAGCGATGCCTAAACATTTTTTTTATGTTAGTAATTGAATAATAAAGGAGTATGGTAATGTTTTATGTTGACATTCCGCTTGGCGATGATTACAGATTTAAGTTAAATGCGCTAAAAAATGTTGACGTGGAAAAATTTACCAAAGATTTCTTTCCATATGCTAAAAATAGATTTTGTTGATGATACTCATAGACCCAAACATTACATTTAGAGCTATTTGAATTAAGAATAACTGATTTGTTATTCGCATAAACTCAGAACCAACGGCAGGGCTCGTATGGCCATGTGAGTCCCAGAATTTATGACCCACAAAGTGCATCAGGCGGTAAGATATCCAGCGCCAGCCCTCAATAAGGCTTAAGTATATGTGGGAATTTATTTATCTGATAAGCCTTAAGCATGAGCAAGAAACAGACATAAATATAATAAATAACTAAACAAATACACTTCAGGCTTAATTGTCTCAGTGCGCGATAGAAGTAAGATAAAATTTAACGCAACAACTTGTCGTTAGTCGCCAAGCTCATGGTGCAAGGATAGCTAAATTTGATGATGACAGCCGCTAATTTTAAAAGTTTTCGGATATCGCAAAACAACGGTGAAATTTTCCCGTTAACGGATTTTGTAAAGAAATGTGGAGAAGCGGTAATAAATGAAGATGATATAAAAGAAGTTTTTCATTGGGATGACAATGCTTCTCAATCAATAAATGAATGGCGAAATCTGTAGTATGGTTCTAGACCCAGAAAATACAGCTACCTATAGTAAAGAAAGTGACAGAGAAGTTACTGAAAATGAGAAAATTTCAGTCTAAAAGTTAATCGGATTTCTGGAAACAGCACAGGACTTCAACAATGTACAGTGGATAAAAAAAGTATTGGCAATTGCCTATAATTGATCATATTACCTAACAAAGGAAATGCCTGACGATTTCAACTGGACATAACGAACATAGGAGGTAATGAACACACAAATCTAAGGAAACTTTTGATTTAATATGCGTTTTACACAAAATATACATTAAAAACTTAAATTTGCATGTCAAAAAAGTATTGGCAAAGTTCTAACTGCTATGCAAATTTTGTTATGTTGAGGTCACGTGTTTAGACTGATAAGAAACCCTATTAGTATACAGTCTGCAGTGCTACTTCAAAACTTTTAAAATGTTATTTTGCTAATACTGTGATGAAATGGCTTCGAAGTCGAAGGAGTGTGATGTTAATGTTAAAAACATGATTATTCAGCTCAGAAATGAGGGTTTAACTTATCGTGCTTTAGGAATACAGTTGAACATAAGTTTATTTACTGTTAGAAGTGTTGTAAACAAGTTCAAAGAGACGGGATCGACGGAAAATAAGTGGACGGTATCGAATATTTTCTGCAAGGGAAAACGGGACATTATTAAAGAGGTTAAGAAAACCCTAAAATAATTGCACCACAGTTAGCCAAAGATGTTGCTAATACTTCGCATAAAACTTTTAGTGTACAGACTCTACAGAATGTCTGACATGGAGGAAGTTATTAAGGAAGAACAGTTAGAAATAAACAGGGGAAAGGGATTAGCTTTTGCAAAATCTCCTTTTATTTATCAGAAGAATTTTGGAACATTATTATTTTGTCCGACGAATTAAAATTTAACATTTTCGAGAGTGATAGACAACAAAATGTGTGGAGAGCCTAACACCGAACTGTTAAAACAACATTTAACACCGAATGTCAAATATGTTAGAGGGAGCGTCGTACTTTGGGGCAGTATGGCAGCAAACAGAATGGGTAAGCTATGCTTCATTGGTGGTATTATGACAGCACGCGCATACATTGATATATTGCGCCATAACATGAAATTCAGTGTCCCAAAAACTTGGTTTAGGAACATCATATGTGTTTCCACAGAACAATGACTGTAAGGACACAATGAAAATCATCTCGCATTAATTACTCTATAATGCTCCTTGTCAGTTAAAGACACCGCCTCAATAGCCTGACATGAAATTCAATTAAAAATTTATGGCTTAAATTGGACCTAGAAGTCAGGAAACAAAATTTCGTGTAAAAATGAACTTAAGTGTATACTCCTGCAAGAATGGCAGAAAATTCCCTACAGGACTGGTTTTTTTCCAAAAAGACTTTTTCAACAACCAGGACTTTGGTTTTCTCTATGAGAAATAGATTACAAGCTCTTATAGATGCAAAAGGTATGAATACAAATATTTAATTTTGTTTCCACATTTTTCTGTATGATCTTGCCAATACTTTCTTGACATGCAAATTTCCGTTTTTGCT